GGTTTGGAAATAGAGAAGTGGACGAGTAGAACAAGTTACCAAATATCATCATTAACTCGAATACGCTGGATAGCTTCAAACATAGGTTGGATGGATATATGTGCAATAGGGGTTGAATGTAAATGGGACTGCCCAGTATGATCCAATAGTGCCGCTGCAGTTTCCTCCTTTCTTATGTTCTTATTTTCTTATTACACAGGAGTCACCCCACGTCAGCACCTCCCCCCTCATCTGACCTACCTACCTGCTCAACCTTGCTCAACGTGACTCACCGACTGGCAGACTACCCTCGTTCTAAACTGAATTAAACTGCGTATATTAGATTTCTTTTAATGCTATTTATTGAGTTTCTGTATATATATTGCTTGAGGAATATCTTACCCAATGTGACGGTGTACTCGCGCAAGACACACCTGGTGATTTGGGCTGTGAAGTGTTGTGAATATTTGCTTAGAATTTACGTTAAATCTGATCCAATGTTTTGTGTTTGGCGTCGGATGCGGCCCCAGTGATGAAAGGAAGGGAGAGAGGGAGGGAGGGGTAGATGGAGGGAGGGAGGGATGGAGAGAAAGAGAGAGGGAGGGGTGGACGGAGGGAGGGAGGGGTGGATAGAGGGAAAGAGGGATGGAGAGAAAGAGAGACGGAGGCAGTCATCGCTAATATCTTTATACCCCTGAGAGAAAAAAATCAACTGTGTCGTCTGGTGAACCACGACTTGACTACCAAGGCCGTGAAAATCTTACATATCTGTCACACTCTCATGGATGGAATCTTGACTTTCTCTAAACTTTCATTGTTGCAACTTAACGAAAACCTGAATAAATAATACTGTGCTTAAGAAAAAACTTTCAAGATTACCACAGAAGGATTACAAACTATTTCCTTTTGTCATTCCTTCTCCGTTAGTTTGTTTTGCATTCCCCCCAAAAATCTGTTTATTCCTAAGACAGTAGAGGTACAGTACGTTAGCCTCACGTTATGACATGTGTGTTAGCGCCTGATGGATGAAATATTGTCTTAACTGATAGCCTGACGCCCTACATGTTACAGTGCACTAATCCTGTAGTCAATGACCTCCCATGTTAACGATGTACTCAGGGGTCAATGACCTCCCATGTTAACGATGTATCTCGAGGTCAATGACCTCCAATGTTAACGATGTACCCCGGGGTCAATGACCTCCCATGTTAACGATGTACCCCGAGGTCAATGACCTCCAATGTTAACGATGTACCCGGGGTCAATGACCTCCCATGTTATACAGGTATATCTCCAGAGGTCAATGACCTCCCATGTTATATACCTCCAGAGGTCAATGACCTCCAATGTTAACGATGTATCTCGAGGTCAATGACCTCCAATGTTAACGATGAACCCCGGGGTCAATGACCTCCCATGTTAACGATGTACCCCGGGGTCAATGACCTCCAATGTTAACGATGTACTCCGGGGTCAATGACCTCCCATGTTAACAATGTATCTCGAGGTCAATGACCTCCAATGTTAACGATGTACCCCGGGGTCAATGACCTCCCATGTTAACGATGTATCTCGAGGTCAATGACCTCCAATGTTAACGATGTACCCCGGGGTCAATGACCTCCCATGTTATACAGGTATATCTCCAGAGGTCAATGACCTCCATGTTATATATCTCCAGAGGTCAATGACCTCCATGTTATATATCTCCAGAGGTCAATGACCTCCATGTTATATATCTCCAGAGGTCAATGACCTCCATGTTATATATCTCCAGAGGTCAATGACCTCCCATGTTATATACCTCCAGAGGTCAATGACCTCCATGTTATATATCTCCAGAGGTCAATGACCTCCCATGTTATATACCTCCAGAGGTCAATGACCTCCATGCTATACACGGCTAGGGGTCAGTGACCGCCATTGTGTTATATCTGTGTCTAAGTTGCCTCGTCTTTCAGACATATTTTACACTATGATTGTCAAGCTGTTATCACCTACAAGATAATTTAACTCGGCTAACATGTGAGAGATATTAGTTACCGTGTTTAGGTGATCTTATTAACACTTGGAGTATTAATGATTTTTATTATTATTATTATTATTATTATTATTATTATTATTAAAGTAGTTTACGAGGAATACAAGAACTAGTGAGAGTAAAAATTATTTAATCAGTATATTTAAAATATATTATAAGGTATAAGATATTTTAAACCGAAGGAAATAAAATTATTAAAACAACTTTTTACCTCGTTCAAAAACACTGATCAGACACAACTAGAAACGCGATGCGGATGTTGAATGAATTGAAATGAGGGCTTGCACACACACACACACACACACACACACACACACACACACACACACACACACACGGTCTCTCGCTTAACCTTAAACTGTGGTGTAACAACATTGAATACCCCTGAATCACCGTCCGTCTCCCTGAAGTGTGACATAAGAGTCTGTAAGTCCTTAACGCACACAACTATTGCTCGGTGTGGTCATTTGTAATCCCTTGTGTGTACAGTATGTGTGTGTGTGTGTGTGTGTGTGTGTGTGTGTGTGTGTGTGAGTGTGTGTGTGTGTGTGTGTGTGTGTGTGTGTGTGTGTGTGTGTGTGTGTGTGTGTACAATATATGTGTGGTGTGTGTGTGCGTGTGTGAGTGTGAGTGTACAGCATGTGTGTGTATGTGCGTGTGTCCGCGTGCATCGCTCACTTCAACAAACCATGGAGGGGGATCAGGATGTACCCATTTGGCATAAACAAACCTCACTGACATCTACCAAGGTCAAGGTTTAAACAATACAGGTCACCGCCCATCAAGGTCACACTCCATTACCTACGTTGCGGGAATGTGGTCAAAATTATTCCCTATAAGAGCTAATAAAGAAGGAGAGTCAAGAGCTACATAAAATTATACTCACTTTATATCTCAAAAGTGGGGCCATCAAGTTACCATTTGCTCTCTGTTATTCACTGTTAAGCTCAGAACGGTTTCACAAGGTCACTGACCCCTCAAGGACATTATATATCTTATCTTGGTGGACTTTTTCTGCCGAGTTATATAAGAAGGGAATTTAATACAATGGATATATCCTGGTTACTGTCCACTGTGAGAGAGACAGACAGACGCTGCCTCTCTCTCTCTCATGTATGTCCTCAGTTACAGTCATGGTTTCTCTAACACACACACACACACACACACACACACACACACACACACACACACGATAAAAGCTGCTTCGATATATTTTAAAAGTTTTAATACAAACGTGAACGTAAATTAATTATAAAATGCAGCAAGTTTCATTTTGTTAAATTCTGTAAAGAATATCGCCAATAATTTATTTCTTTCCTGGAAAAATATAGATATAAACTGGTGACCAGAAGATTAGCCCCGGGTTATTTTACCTGATGACTAAACACCTTAACGTTACCTCATCGGGTTAGGTTAGGTTAGGTTAGGTTAGCGTAAGGATGGTTAGGTTAGGTTAGGTTAGGTTAGGTTACTGTAAGGATGGTTAAATTTAAGTTGGGTGTTTAATCTTCAGGTGATCCAAACCAACTTGAAAACACGGAATAAAAACTCAAGTTCCGGAGAGGACAGGAGGTAGAACAACGTTGTTCCGAGATGAGGACTGGTTGGTGGCCCTTAGAAAATAAGGAAGTGACTAAGGGGTCTCAGGAAATAAGAGGCAAGACGGTCTAGGGGAAATAAGGTAGTGAAGGGAGATGGTAGGATCATACACGAGAAGACATCAGGTGAGACGGCATAAGGTGGAAGTAAAGCATCGTAAGTCAATGTGTCCTGAGTTGAGTCAGTGGAATAGGTTGGCCGCTTTATGGAACCTAACCTAACGCCCTCTGAAGGAGTAGACAGAAGATAAATTGCCAATGCTGAAGCAACTCTCTACCAGCATCATCTATTTACTCTGAGAGACTGTACTCCTAGTGTGGGACTTGTATGAAGATAAACCTTCTCGGTTGTTGCCTTATCGAGGTGACATGCTGCTCTCCATAATGGTCGCAAAGTGGATAAGACTATTATAATTTTAAACACCAGGATGTTTTAAATTTTTACAATATATGTCAGCTTGAAAAGGATGGATGATATTCTTCTAAAAATAAAATCACAGTCCCTCTAACGCCTTTTTTTGGTCTGGACACCTGTAAAAATTTTGCTCTGGTTCACACCGGGCGACTTAATTTACTTGAGGGAAAACCTTTTGCAATCAAATGACTAATATATCCGGCCTGATAAGAAAAGGGCCCAGCCTGATAGTGAATATTTGTCATTATCATGCCGGATACCCTATCCGGTGCACAACTAGTTATGAGGACCCAGATGAGGAAAATAAGAAAAAAAAAATTCTTGGAAAGCAGAGATTGACGTTATCGAGTAGGAAAGTAAGGGAAGGTCATAGGATTATGTGTAAGTAACGCTTGATAAGACACAGAGAAGTTTGTCACGTCGCAAATGTTAGTTAGAAGACCATGGAAAGTGCCTTGTGTATTTATGACTCCCAGTTTTTTGTGTCGTCCACGAAGGAGATGCCAGCCAAGGTAAGTTGAGCGATAAGTTACAAGAAAACCGACACATCTTCCCAATTAGCAAATTAATTAATGTGCTGTTTACAGGTAATGTGGATTTATTTCATGTAGTCAGCTGTACAAAGTATTATTCTAAAATGTTTTCTGTGAACTCTGACAAGCAGCTGAGATAGTGAAGACGCCAAGTTTATAATTCACTGACGGTCTCCTAAACTCTCTTTCCTAAACAGGTTTTGCTGTGGTGACGAAGCCGTTTCCACCACAGGAACATTCCACGAAGTGATCTTACAAACTACACGAGAAAAGAGATCTATTGATCAAATGGAACCCAGTTCCAGAGTCTCAAAACTGAGGCCTATTGAAACTGTGGTCCATTTCACTCATCACCGATTAAGCGAGAGGTTTCTCTTATCAACAGCACAGTACTGAAGTGTTTTGAAACTTGTTACAGAAAGACAATAACTTACGGTGCAATGTCCGGGAGGTCGGTGATGGTCTGCTTCAGAGGCTCTCCCTCAGCCGGGTCCATCTGTATCTGCAGATGTGGGTGGTGCTTCTGCAGGTGTTGAGGCGCTTTTGTCCTCTTAGTCTTCTCCGACGCCGCCTTCAGGATCTTCTTACCCTTTAGCGTGAGAAGGTCGATGTCCACGGTAACTGGAGCGTACCGCCGAGTGGACCAGATGGAGTCCATCTTGGCACAAGAGGTGGGCACCCTCTCGCAGGTGGCCCACCACACCTGCTCTCACTTGTGCGAGGATTCACTACGTTACCAGGTCATTATGAAACTTTATACACTAATATCCTGGTACTGGTGAAGGAGAACTACGGGTAATTCTCGTATGTGAAGATTGACTTAAGCATTCCCAACACACTTCTTTCTGTCGCACTTTAAATATAAGAAGCTGCTACATCGTTTCTTTCTTTGTTCTCATAATATTCTTAGATTGTAAATTGCTGTGACCAGCGGGGGTACAGGAGGGGCTGGGGGGGTGATGATCAGGTGATACAACAGGCAGGATCAGCTGGCGTGTCACCTTACACAGACCCGTCACCGACACTCAACACTGTCACTTTATCACACATTCAGCGTAAGTGCATTTATCTTCTAGACGCTCACACAACTCAAGTGAAGCATCTCTGAAGTTATACCACCGTTAAGTTCATTAATCTGTCATTTTCATTCCAAGAAAAAAAGGGGCTTAGTGAACTGAAATTGTACAAATAAATAAATAAATAAATAAAACATGAATGGAAGACCCTGCAGGTATACCAGAAAGGGTACGACTGAGGGCTAAGGTTGACTTAGTATGGAGGTACTCGAGGGGCCATTGACCCCGGGCCTCTACACCCAACACTTCACTCTAAACTGACGCTACAGACTCAACACGCAAAATACACTTCTTCTATATTACATTACTATTATATACTGATGTTACTGTAAGTACTTTTTTTCATTCACTTTTATTTATGATTATTGCCGTTGTTTTGTTTCTTAGGAGTTTCTGGTCCAGCCACAGTAAGACTTGCCCTGTTAACTACATATTGATTCATACTATTTTTGTAACAGCAGAAGGTGGTGGAGGAGGAGGGGAGACGAGGGACGTGAGTAGGCCAGTGACTAGCGGTTCCTGCATCGCCACCAGCCGTTGTTCTCCTCGTTGGTATGTACCATAGTGTGACGGTGGGCGGCACAAGAGAGGCCTAGGTGTGCACTGTCCAAATTAGCGCCTCTTAACTCGCCTCCTGTCTCCATCCTCCTCACCCTTCTGCCACAAGTCACAGTAACAACTTCCGCAACGCCCACGACACTCAACACTAATGTAAATAATAAGACGCTCGTAGAAAATTTCCACCATCAGTGTTGCACACCTGACTTTTTGCTCGTCCAGTAGCCTGAGCTGAGAGACACCAGTGAACGAGCTGTTGAGAGGGAGGTTCTCATAAATACACATGCACTAAGATTACCTGAGACAATCGAGTGAGTTTCGTGAGAGCGAAAAAACGAGAGCTCTGAGAAGGCACATGAAGGCACGATCGCGGCTCAGCACTTACTGACTGGCAGCTGGTACGTAGCCCCCGCGCCGACCAGTCCAACCACGTGTGTATATGAGGCAGGCACCGCCTACCAGGCTACCACACAGCATAAGCCCCGCCCATTTAGTCTCCCTTACCTCCCGCACACAACCCCCCCCACTTTGCTCCTTCCTCCCCCCTTCTCCGGAACCTCTACACCCCCCCAATAACACTTTCCTCCTAGACGGTGGGATATGAGGTGGAAATGACTCAAACTGCGACCGGACGGCCAGGGTAGTGGGAGAGGTTCCAGTCGTCCCTCCTCCCGCTATGACCTGGCCAGGATCCCCGTAGATGGCCCCAGTTGGTGACCCAACTGGACGAATATGGGGCCAGGGTGTAAGGAAGGAAGTCTGCTTAACCAGATAGGATGCCGCTGGACACTTGAACCTGCAGACAAGGAGTATGTGGAGGTAGGTGGGGGGTTGAGCTGAAGTGTCAAGTAGGAGAAGGGGGATTTATGAGGTCAGGGATTACTTAACTACTGTTTAAAAGCTTCAGCATTATTACAGGTATGAGTTCATGGTACAAACACACACACACACACACACACACACACACACACACACACACACACACGCACACACACACACACACACACACACACACACACACACACACACACACACACACACACACACACATTTTTGCCAATCTCAGTAGAAATAATATTTTTATCTGAGGAAAAAAAAAATCCACAAAAACAGAAAAGCCAAAAAGACAGACATCATAGACTCATGAACCAGGGTGGGAAAATGATCGCAGAAAGAACAGGATATGACACCATTAAAAGCTACTGAATCTTACTTATTATTATCGTTTCCAACACCACTGTCGTCACCTTCCTTGTGCATTCATTCCTCAAAATTTCCACCAATTAGTGCACGTAACTGATCCCTATAAGCTGGGTATTGTTGAGGTGTCTTTTAAGCGAGTGTATTGAGTTGTATACTTGTGTTTACATCGTATATAAGGCACAGTGTTGAATGGTTCACCAACACCTGGATAGCTTGAATATTCTCCCCCATCTTATGCTACCTGAAGGTTAACCACACTAACGCTATACCTGGGGGACTTTAAGTTAAGTTAAGTTACGTTAGGTTAGTATTAGGTTAGGTTAGGTTAGTATTAGGTTAGGTTAGGTTGGGTTAGTATTAGGGTGGTTAATCCCCAGAAGAAATAAGCCGGGGGGGAGCGAATCTAAAGGTGACCAGCTGGATCATTACACTCAACAATTTTGTTACTTAGGTTTGTTCAACAGTGAAGTGAGTTTACACTACAAGTTTTTATATCACGTGAATAAATGTTAATCAAACCTGTTAATATAATTTTAATCAAGTTAAAATGTAAATTAGTTATATTAATAGAAGTAATAAAATTATTCAGTTTACTTCTGTTGTTATAGAGAGAATATAGATAAATTGACTCTCAGTTGACTAAATGTATCAGTAAATGCAAGGTGAGTTTTGGTTACGACAGACAGCAGAGTACAGACAGCAGAGTACATACAGCAGAGTACATACAGCAGAGTACACACAGCAGAGTACATACAGCAGAGTACACACACCGAGGATAACAACTCACTTGGTGATTGACGTAGCTGACCGACACAAACTCACATTAGAGTAACGCCACCAATCACAGCAGAGTTTTATCACAAAAGAGAATTTCATTGGCTGTGTAACTCTACCCATAACATCATATTAAGTTGCTCTCGTCTCAATAGCCAATCAGAATATTTCTTGACTATAAAGGTATTTCAGTCGTTACAGAATCTGATGTAGGCAATATACCCCCCTGTAAGACCTATGCCACAAGCCCCTTCCTCTGTTCCTAGCATGAAATTGAACATTCACGTAATTAATAACCTATAAAATCATCTATGAGTCGAAGAACAAATTTTCCGTAGTGTGAATCGTATGTTGTGAGATAACTGTTATAATTCCTATTAGCGTATTGAGTGTAAGAGGGGTTATTAGTACCTAAGACTCAGCACATATCGACGTATATCTGAAACTTACTCAAACATTATTGGAACCAGGCTGTGAGAGTGGACTCGAGTGAGGTGCCAAATTATCCTTGAGCCTTTGACCTTTTTTTTTAAATCAATGGCCCATCAGCCACTCTCTCCCACCCATCATCTAAGTCTAAGAAGGCCAGCATGAACTTCTGGTGGCCACTGTAATGCTTCTGTGCCTCGTATTACACAGGATGTAATGGGGTGCACAATAAACTAGTCTCAGTGCTGCGTGAGGAAAATAGAATCTTTTAACCTTGAATAATCTCAGTTATCAACATTGAGCTCTTCCCGTTCTCTCGATACTCTAAACTCCACTCATACACAGAGACAGACAGACAGAGACAGACAGATACATACACATACACGGGGGGGTTAATTAGACTTAGACGACACTAGACCGTCCAACTCACTCACACGACTCAGCCACCATGAGTATATGACCGTTCGGGGAAAAGCTTTTGAGGTGAGTTATTACATTCCAAAACAGCTGGCAATCTGTGGCGGGTTCTGCTGAGACACATACACAGACGGGGTTCTGCTGAGACACATACACAGACGGGGTTCTGGTGAGGGGTTCTGCTAGGACAAGACACAGACGGGTTCTGTGAGACACATACACAGACGGGTCCTGGTGAGACACATACACAGACGGGGTTCTGGGTGAGACACATACACAGACGGGGTTCTGGGTGAGACACATACACAGACGGGGTTCTGCTGAGACACACACACACAGACGGGTTCTGGGGAGACATACACAGACGGGGTTCTGCTGAGACACATACACAGACGGGCCTGTGAGACACATACACAGACGGGGTTCCCCGTGAGACACATGCACAGATGGGTCAGACACGCCAGACGGGCTTAGAGACACATACATGGTGCGGGCCCCAAGACATACACAGCGGGGCTCCTGGTGAGACACATACACAGACGGGGGCTTCTGCCAGAGACACATACACAGACGGGGCAGTTCTGCTGAGACACATACACAGACGGGGTTTTGTGAGACACAAGCACAGACGGGGTTCCCCAGGAGACACATGCACAGACGGGGTTCTAGACATGCAGACACACACACACAGACGGGGTTCTAGTGAGACACATACACAGACGGGGTTCTGGGTGGAGAAACACACACAGACGGGGTTCTGGTGAGACACATACACAGACGGGGTTCTTGTGAGAAACACACAGAGGGCCCTGGTGAGACACATACACAGACGGGGCCCTAGTGAGACACATACACAGACGGGGTTCTAGTGAGACACATACACAGACGGGGTTCTGTGAGACATACACAGACGGGGTTCTGCTGAGACACATACACAGACGGGGTTCTGGAGACACATACACAGACGGGGTTCTGGTGACACATACACAGACGGGGTTCTGGTGAGACACATACACAGACGGGGTTCTGGTGAGACACATACACAGACGGGGTTCTAGTGAGACACATACACAGACGGGGTTCTGGTGAGATACATACATAGAGACACATACACAGACGGGGTTCTGGTGAGACACATATACAGGCGGGGTTCTAGTGAGACACATACACAGACGGGGTTCTGGTGAGACACATACACAGACGGGGTTCTGGTGAGACACATACACAGACGGGGTTCTAGTGAGACACATACACAGCTGGGGTTCTGGTGAGACACATACACAGACGGGGTTCTGGTGAGACACATATACAGGCGGCTAGTTTATTGTGCACTCCATACTCATCCTGTGAGCGTAGCCCAAAAGGATCACAGAGTAGAGGCCACAGTCCCCAGTGGTGAGGATATTATGGCACTGAATATTACAGATCATTTGAAATACATTCTTTGTTTAGTTCTGTACACAGAGGGTGACTTATTCTCAACTGTGTGAGTACAGGAGTGTGAGGCAGTATGTCTGGCTACACAATTTGTCATTCACATTTGCATGAGAGATATTCAAGCACACTGTGGTTCTATACATGGGAACTGATATAGCTATTAAGTGCAAAAAAGTGGATACAATCTTAATATGTGGGCTATCTTGCCATTAGAGATACAGTGTTGTGCCATTTACCATACAGTGTACTTGGACCTGTTCCTAAGAGGTTCTATCGTCACTCAGTCAAGGACGTAGAGTTGGAGTGTGTGGCCATATGTCTGGCCACATTTTACATTTAGTTTTGTTCACATCTGCTTGAGGGATATACTGCCAGACGTACAGTTTACGCCACTTATAAGCCACACAGACTGGCGGCCGCGAAATTCATAATCAACAACTTCGCTGGGTGTATCCCTCCCTCACCCCCTCCTACGCAGAAACACACAAACCTCCTTGATTGTGTTCGGTGTCGTAGTGTCTGGGTGCAAGGTTATCGCGGTGGCTATCCAAACACCTTCAGTACGACAACTTGTCTCTGAACACCTTTCGTGAATTAAATTTAAGGTGAATGACCTTCTTTGGTTTGTCTGTAGTCTGTGTAAAATATTAAACCATGTAATTATACCAGACAGATGTGTGGAGTCTGTTGGTAGCTTTGGTTTAGTCGTGGTTTCTGCGCTGTTCTTCCTGAGGCAACTCACACGTCTTTGAAAATGTTGACTTTCGGAATGAGAAAATAAACTAAAATGTGTTCTATCCTTATTTGTTATACTTAATAAAAAAATTCTTATTTCCTTTTGTTTCTCGTTTGTTTGTCTATATTTCAATAACAAATAAAGCTGGATTAACAATATAAACAATTCTGGATACATTTTGTCACTCACCAGTTGACTGCCACCACTTTGACACATCGATGACGTGAGTATTTCCAGGGTTCAGGAACAGCTTTACGATACACCAGACTCAATTATCCAAAAACGAGTTATTATACGAACTAAAATATTGTCATATAATCTTGTGTAATACATTGTCTTATATTTGAAATTAGAACAGATAAATACAAAGGTCTCTAAAGTTACTTGTGTGGTGAAACGAATGAGTA